TCTTGGCGGTTGTTCTTTTTCTGTGTTCCTAGGAATACGTGTACTTGCAGCTAATGAGAAGTTTTGTTGCAAAGCTACGTAAGCATATGATTTCTTCTTGATTATATAATCATAGGGTTTCTTTTTTGTTGTTCTTTCTCTTTACTAAAACATGTACCCACTCCTTCCATGTCTCGAAACCAATACAGCAGTATTTATGTAGTGCGAGCCAAGTAGCCTCTCATTTTCTTTGAACGCTGTATGCACTTTTCATAGCACCTTCCAGCCCCATGCAACTTCTTGCCCTTTTTGTAGCATTGGTCTGCCCATTAAAATAGCAACTTGATTTGGTCACGTATTCAGCCATCATAGGTAAGTCCAAACTTCAATGACAGCGCCTCTTCCTTCAACGCGATGATGAAGTTGAGAAATGTTGTGCCTTGCAGTTGTTTGCGATTTCGTAGAGGTGCCGCTCTGCTAACACCTTTGCCGTCTCGGCAAAAAGCTCGTACTTAAATTCGAGCAACGTACTTATCGTTATCGTACTTTAACGTACTTTATCGTTATCGCCGCCGCATCAGTCGATACTATGCCAAAGCCTGACACCGTCAGTTTACTGGCGTTGTGCGTACTATTTTGAACACCTTATGCTTTAAGCTGCTCCTGTGCTGTGATGTATTTTTTGCATTGTCCATTGATGCTGAATGCACCAAAAAGTGCTGACGGACGTCACCTATTCTCCCAGCCACTTCAGCCGACCACTTCTGATAAACCTTAAAATCTTTTCTCAAAAAATGCCACAGAATGGGAGGCATGCTGGGGACGTGGAGGAAGGAAGGGAGGTTGGCGAAAAGGGCCGCCATGTGTGCAGGAGGTGGCTTTGTCACGTATATATCTCGGAAGTGCTTGTGAAGCATGGATTTGAAAGAAACTGGAGACGGGCATGTGGTAAGACACACTCTTTATCACACCAAACAAAATGGCAAACAGTAATCTGACACTCAGAATTCATTCTCGAAAAAGTGACATGGACACAACAATAGACTATCCAAGGAAACCATAACTAACTTTGATCCAAGACAAGTTCAGTCCTAAACCTGAAATTGAAATTGGCTAAGTGCGTAGGACTAATTTACCATCATCGACACATACTACCATCTACAATAAAAAGATTACCTTATGATGCACTTTTTAATTCTCATCTAAGTTACTGCTTCCTGGTGTGGAATAAAACTACAGCCCTTAACATGTCAAAACTGAGCATGTTACAAAAACATGGTTAGAGTGATTTCAAATGCTTCCTAATTATAACACACCACCCATCTTTTCAAACAGTATCGAATCGTTCAAATATCAGATCGTTATACTTTCAAATTGCTGTACTGCTATAAAAAAGCAGCACTCGGAAAATCAGACACATTTCTTCAACTCCCGAACCTTAAAAAAAAAAGAAGTTACTTATCACGTCTGATATCTACCACCTTGGCACATTGAGTTCTCACGCACGCACTGTGGAACGCAACGCATCCGACACGCTGTCCCAACAACATTAAATTATTTCGAAATGCAAGGAACAGATATTTTATTTCACACAAAAAAAGAAATTAGAGGGCTGTGTACGTACCTATTCAAACTTGCTTTATGTAACAATAGAACATACACGTGTTTAGCAAGTTGTTTTTCTTTCGTTATTCATATACTCTGCATATATGTCTATGTCTATCATACGTAGGTGCATATTTGTATTCAATTGCACATTATACTTTGTAACGTATACTTGAAGTGTTTAGCATCTTTTTTTTTTTTTATTCTTTGAGATCAAACACTGTACCCTTTGGTTTCACCACCTATGTGTGGCTGGGGCTTTGTCAAGCTGTCATTGGACAGCTTTTTTCCCGGCCACCTTTTTTCACCGCAAATGTTTGCTTTTTGGTGCAAATAATGTTCTTTGATTGATTGATTGATTAAGTAAAAGCAGCTGGTGCGTGCCGTAACCTGCGGTAGGCTGAGCGATGGGAAGGCACATAGAGTGACTTTTAGACCGAGCTTTGGTGAAACTGACGGGAGACTGCCCTCTCCTGAGTTTGTTGCAGGTGGTTTTATGGGGGGTAAAGAAGAGTGACTGGCCGGCGTGAAGTGGGTCACATGACCTATCTGGCCACACTGTGTAAACGGGCAGGGTGGAGGCCTAGCTCCACCCAATGGCATTGTAAGGCAAACTTAAATACACTGATGTCCTTGCATCACACCAGGAGTCACATGACACAAGCAAAACCTTTTCAATTAAGTACAAAAGCTGGGGTACTCTGGCATTGCCATGTCGTGGGACCTAGTATCACCCAGCATTGTCAAAGAAGAGCTGTGAGAAAATGGAGCATTCGACGCGCTTGACGGAACCAAGGAAGATGCTGGGCTCTTCAGGATAGTCCGGCGTCCTCTCTGCCCCTGTCTCTTTTAGATGCGAAACAGCTCTTTGATTAGCCTGTGTAACGCAGTCTTTCTGTATGAACGCGCCACGTGTGTTGGCGCGGTGCCAAGTAGGTCACACTGCTGCTGTTCGGTGACATCATGCTCCTCTCGCAGTGCGCGCTGATGTCACTCTCTCCCTCGCTTGTCGTGCGCTCGCCGAGGCGCCTGCAGCTGCTGCCTCGTCTGTTCGCCTGCAACACCTGCCGCGACCGCCTTTCCTTACTCTTTCGACTTGTCGATTCACGCGCAATAAACTTGACGCGCACCTAACATACGCATTGAAATATGTTTGTAAGTATCAGATACAAGATCTATGCCAGCCATCGCTTCAAACGAATCTTCCAGCGCTCACGGCAGCACCCGCATTAGCGCCATTCAACCCATGACGCCAAACGTGCGCAACACTGCTGCTTTGGATCCCATCAGGGTTCCCCTCAGGGAGATGGTCCAAGCTTTTTTTTTTCTCAGTTCCTTCTTCTTTCTTTTGGTGCTGCTGGTATTGTAGACTAATTGTAGTCATTTTTGTAGATAAAGACAAAAAAAAAGAAGGCAAAAGAACTGTATCATTAGAATGGCAAATTTGGACAAGTTGATGTGCTTTCATAAATGAGTACTAATGTGACAAAAATAAAGACAAGAAAGAAAAGACAAACTACAGCACCAACTGACAATTAAATTTTTATTCGTTTTTTTGATAGAATGGAAACCTTGCATTTTCAGAGACCAGCGCTCACAGGAGATTATGAAGATGTTCTGCATGTCACTGGAAGGTGAAGTTTGTATCAGTCAGCCTTTGTTAGCACTATGAGATGCACAAGTGTCATACCTTACGAATAGCTTGCGTCACGTCTTATGTTTCATCAGTTACATAGGCTTTATATATTTTTTTCTTTTGTCACCTTGTGCATGCACAACCGTTGTTTGTTTTCAGATGCTATTTATTTCATTTTACAAAATAATAATTTAGTGGCAAGTCAGCGCTGTATTCTGTCTTTCCTTTCTCATCCTCGTTTTTGTCTTGCTAGTATTTTTTGAATATATAAGAGAACAGTCATTGAAGGTGAGGCTCTTCGCATTATGTGGAATAGATATAGCCTGGTTCATTCCACTCGAGAACTTGGGCCAAACAACAATGTGTCTGTAGTGTAGGTCTTCGCGAACATGCATAAAAAGAAACGCAAGAACAGGTAAAGTGTACACCCTCCAGTCATCACTACCAACAAGCGCGCACCTCAGGATTCATAGCAGTTTGTGAATCCTGTATGGGCTGATATTTATGCTTATTGTTCAGCACTGATGTCATAGCTGTGCCAAGAGGTCAAACCTGCTATATCATGCTATAATTTGTCAAAAGTCATTTAGTTCAGATATGTGGATATGGTTCAGTTATGGCACCCATGAGCCACATAAATGTGCCTAGTGGGTGCAAAACCTGATTTGCACACTTGTGAATGGTGATGGTTGGATGGCACGCACTGTACCATTGCCAACACTTGTGTTTCATTTGATGCTGATAGAACCTGGTAGAATCCTGGCCATGACTTGATGAGGGCAAATAGCAAAAAATTGCTCACTTTGATTTAGGAGCATCATAACGAAGTCTAGATTATAAAAATTATGGTGCAGCTCTCTATTACACTCTGTCTGAATATAAAATTTTGGTCTGGGCACCTAAAATAAACCCTAGTACTGACAATGTAGAAGATGTAAAATCACTGAGACAAGAAGTGGACGCACTGGACAAGCACTGACCTCCAACTTGTAATTTTATTGACATAAATGCATTATATAGACATGTGTGGGAATACTTACAAAGAAAACAAGTTGCACTGACAATGATACAGTGAAAAAAAAACCAACCTCCTGTGTTATAGAATATTGTGTGTTATCAGTACGAAAAACCAACTAGCCCAGTATGAATCAACCAGCTAGTATGAGCGAAGTAAACCCCAAATTTAGTTTAATTTAAAATCTGTACAGACATCCAGAACAGTTTCTTTAAAGAACTCTGAGGGAGAAGTGAATGAAGTATACATATAAAGGCTCATTTTTTGTTTGTTAGACTCAATATTAATGAGATCTAACGGACAGTCATGCTCAGGAAATTAGAGAAGATGCTATTAGAACTAATTGGCCTCACCGTGGTGGTCTAGTGGCTAAGGTACCCAGCTACTGACCCGCAAATCGCGGGATCGAATCATGGCTGCGGCGGCTGCTATTTCGATGGAGGCGAAAATGCTGTAGACTTGTGTACTAAGAGTTGGGGGCACGTTAAAAAAACCCCAGGTGGTCGAAATTTCCACAGCCTTCCACTACGGCGTCTCTGGTGGTTTTGGGACGTGAAACCCCACATATCAATCATTATTAAAAGTAATTGTAATGTAGACTCAAAAAAAGAACTGCCCATGGCAAGTTATCTTTTTGTCCACTTTTCTTCACATTTACATTACAATTGCTTGTAGTAACGTCCCCTATACTTTTCTTGGCATGATTGTCTATTGGTTCTCACTGAGGGAGTAATGTGTTGATTATTTCTCGCGTATCTCAATCAGGCAGCCGGGGTGCAGCGTGTGCTGGAACAGTTGTCGCGCCTCCTGCCGCCCGAAGAGTCTGCGCTGCCCGAGAAGCTGATTCTGGCCGAAGCGCCGCTGCCGCGTCCACTGCCTGCACTGCCCGTACTGGTCCTGGGCAGTGACGACCTGCGCGCTGCCTTCGGGGCTCTCATAGGTCGTTTGCAAAAGTTCTGCCACTGCAATGCGCGGCCCCCCGGCACAATTCGTGTCGGGGTCCTTGGTTCGGAGACCTTCCTCTCTGCACTGGTGCGCCTCTATGTCGAGCAGCTGTCGGCGAAACCACCTGAGTGGCAGGCCTACCTGCGCTTCTTCCCCATGCCTGCCACCTCCTCTGGTCAGTGGAGTTGTCACTTATTGTCACAGTGATTTTCTGGATGTTTGCATTGTGACATGATAATATTTGTACTGTAAAATCTTAATATAGCAATCTTTATAATAATGTATTTTTTTTTTACATTAACAACTTTTTCGAAAATCCTCCTCCGAGTGTCCATTGGTTTAATACAATAATATTTCACTACTACGTATTTTAGAATACCAGAAGCTTTGGAATTACATATTGAATTTTATCCCTCTTATATCTCCACAACACTTCTAAGTAACAAAAAGCAATTCTAAAAAGTTGCTTGCGGCTGTGAAAATTGTGCCCAGCTTTGTACCTGCCGCTGTCATCATAATTAGAACGCTTGCCCGATTATTTCTCTATGCGCCCGCTCTATTCAATTGGGTGATAGCCCTATTGCCATCATCATCACTTGGTACTTGTTTTTTTCATGTTAGGCTTCGCCCCATTGCCTTTGTTTTAATCGGGCAGCTTTACCTGGACAGTAGTACACTCAAACCTCGTTATAATAAAGTTGAAGGGGAGCCACAATTATTTTGGTATATTCATTATTTCGTTATATCAATTATAACAGTTTGGAGCAATCTATGCTCTGATGGGCGCTCACCTATAAGTATGCAAAGAAGGAAACCGCCTCACAGCCCGATGTACCACTATGCGTGCCACGGAAAATAAACTCAGTCGAATGTCATTAATTCGAACTTTCCGGTAATTCGAACTCACGCTGAGGTCCCGTCAAAGCTATGTGTATTCCAATGGGCGAAAACGCCCTGTAATTCGAACGCGCAAGCACTTGTGACTGTTAATTTGAACATACCGCACTCCGACAATGCTCTCAGCACCATGCCCAATCTTGCCGCGGCACCTCTCAACGCTGCGCGGGAAGATGGAAAAGAAAAAAAGGAAAGAGGAGACTGTGGCGGATTGTTTGCTCTCTCTCAAATGCCGATCTGCAACGCACCTGTGCCACACTTCTCCCTTTTCCGTCTCTGCACGTAGAGACCCTTCTCCATTCAAGGCCGCGTGTGGAGGGAGAGGAAAAAAGAAAGCTGTCGCGGAGAGTCCTCCTTTCTCGGTGCAGAGGGTAGCAGCCATGGTAGCAGCGAAGACGCAGTCGTTTCCGTCATGAGAGGGAAATCGTTTTGCACTGCAGCGTCGCTTCTCGGTCATGTGACCTACTGAGCCCTTCCTTAAGCCTCTTCACTGGCTGTGTGAGTAGGACGGCTCTCTTGGCCGCGTGGGGCATGGCTTTAAGGTCGGCAGGGGAATTTTGAAAGAGCCGCGCCGAACGAGCGTCAAACTCTGCAGAAAACGGTATACTTAAAACATTATGGTCGTTTTTTTTCGATAGACTTTTTAATAGACTAACTTACTTCATTATGTCTATTTACCAGTAAAATTTACTTTGTTACAATGAGGTTTAAAATCTAACCACCCCCCTCCCCCTTCCCATCTGCAGGTCAAAATACGCGTGAGAGATAAGCGCGAGTCGGCGTATCACAAGGTGCGCGCTGAACGCGGGCGGCTTTCTTTCTTCCTTGAGGGTTCATATATATATATATATACATATATATTGCCGCGAGGAGTCGCCGTAGCGCCAGACGCTACGGCGACTGTATCTCGGATGGTGAACGCGCCTTACGTTCCAGTGGGACATTCTGTTCCCCGACGGCCGTTGAACGCGCTGTTCGCCACCCGCTAAGCTGGCGCGTCTGTTTTCCTTTAGTGGGTGCAAGTCCGCCAAATAAACAGATCTCCTTCTATTTCTACTAACCTCCCGGTCTCCTGTCTTCCGGCTACCCTCACTCTTACGTGACATCTGGTGGAGGTGCGGGGTATGCACAAAAACGACCTTAAAACAGCCTCTGCAGAGAACGAGGACGCTGAAGACACAGATACTCGAAGCAGTCGCCGCCTCCGAAACCTGCCACCTGAGCTGGGACCGCTACCGGACCCTACGCGACCACGAAAGGACGCTTCCACAGCCACCATGAGCACCCCGCAATCACCTACCCCTGTCATGCTGCAGCAGCTGCGGGTGCGCCCAACTTTCCATGGTTATGCCGCTGAAGACCCAGAAGAATGGCTCGACCAATTCGAGCGCGTGGCTACCATAAACAGGTGGGATGAAGAAATGAAGCTGCGATACGTTTACTTTTCCCTGGACGGCCCCGCCAAAACGTGGTATGAAAACCATGAGACCACACTGACCACCTGGGAATTTCTGAAGAATGAGTTGCTCAGGACCTTCACCAGCATCATGCGAAAAGAAAGGGCCCAGCTGCTGCTAGAATCGAGGACCCAACAGCCCAATGAGACCCTAAACGTGTACGTTGAAGAAATGAAACGTCTTTTTAGGCAAGCGGACCAAGACATGACCGAAGACAAAAAGGTCGGATACCTAATGCGAGGGGTGAAGGAGTCGCTTTTCGCCGGTCTCACAAGGAACCCTCCTAAAACAGTCGCCGAATTTACTGAAGAAGCGCACACCGTAGAAAGGACCCTGGACGCTCGGACTCGGCAATACAACCGCCCGTTTCAGCTCAGCTCGCTCTACTCGGAACCGATATGAGGTGGGCTAACCACCAACAATCTGCGGGGAAGCTATTCGAGAAGTGGTTAAAGAACTACGCCGATTGCTACCTCCTACCCCCCAGCCCCCCCAAGGAGCATCTCTCTTGGACATAGTGCGTGATGAAGTCCAGCAGGCGTTTGGCTCTTCATCAGCGATGACTCGAACAGAGACCGAAGCAATGACTTACGCCGCTGCAGTGAACACTAGGCCACCCCGCCGAAACGAGCCCAGTCCTCGACGGTACGCTGCAGCCCCAAGTAGCCGTCCGCCCTTACCCGCCCACCCTACATACGAGAGACGCCCGAGCCAAAGAAAATGCGACACCTGGAGAACTCCCGACGACCGTCCCCTATGCTTTCATTGCGGTGAGGCCGGCCACATTCTTCGACACTGCCCCTACAGGCGGATGGGACTGCATGGCTTCTCATCTCAGCCACCACGGCCACGCCCTGGACAACGACCTCCGGCAATCGAAGACTACTTGCGCCATACAGAGTACTTGTCCAGCCATTCTCCATCACCGCCATCCCCACGCTTCAAGTCACCGAACCGCAGCAACAACGAACGAAGAAGGTCCCCAAGCCCCCGTAGGGGAAACTAAAACCAGCAACCTTTGGAGGTGAGGTTGCTTCAAGAGGAAAAGCCGAAGACCCTCCACCGACGACCATATATGACGACAGCACATCATCTACGACGACGACAATGCACAACAACCCAAGCCGCGAGACGAAGCAAAACGAAGCAACAAGACGAAGCCGTGACCCGAACCCAAAACCAACGCGCAACTCCAGCCCACGTGCCACCGATTTTGAAGTATCTATCGACGGCCACCCGGTAACTTCATTGATTGACACAGGAGCTGACTACTCGGTCATCAGCGGGCCATTGACAGCACAACTGAAGAAGGTTAAGGCGGCTTGGGACGGCCCGCAGATCCGCACAGCCGGAGGCCACCTTCTCACCCCATCAGGGCGATGTATTGCAAGGGTGACATTCGATGGTCACACATACCTTGCCACTTTCTTGATGCTCCCACAGTGCTCCCGTGACGTCATTCTCGGCATGGACTTCTTGACTCAACATCACGCAGTTATTGACCTGGCGTCCAGATCCATCAAACTCTCCTCGGATGAAGCCATAAATTCATACTCGGCACCACATAATCGCGCAGCCCTCCGTGTGCTTGAGAATGACGTGAGCGTCCCACCCCGATCAACGACCCTAATCTCCGTAACCACTGGTACCGCCGAAAATGCTCATGGCGTCGTCGAAGGTAACATACAGCTTTTGCTTGGCCGTGATATCGCAATCGCAAGAGGCATTGCGGACTTCCGGAATGGACAGGGTCCAGTGCTGCTAACAAATTTCAGCGAAGAACACCGTTACCTGGCCAAAGGCACGACCATTGCCTTTCTCGATGAAATCACGGAAGTCAGTGACACCCTCGCCCTTTCGAATCCAGCGACCATCACCCCACAGACCCACAACTCGCAGCTGTAATTCGACATTAACCCTTCCTTGCCTCAATGCAAGCAGCAACTGCTCCAGAACCTCCTTCGACGTTATGACGACTGTTTCGCCACTTCTTCACAGGTCCGACACACTTCTCTGGCAAAGCATCGAATCATAACACAAGAAGACATCCGCCCTCTCCATCAAAGCCCTTATCGTGTGTCGGCACGTGAACGTCAGGCCATCCGAGAGCAAGTTGAGGAAATGTTACACAACGATGTAATTCAGCCATCGAAAAGCCCATGGGCGGCACCAGTCGTCCTTGTCAAAAAGAAAGACGGAAGTCTTCGGTTTTGCGTCGATTACCGACGGTTGAATAGTGTAACCAAGAAGGACGTGTACCCTTTCCCAAGGATCGACGATACCCTAGATCGTCTTGGTGATGCAAGGTACTTCTCGTCCATTGATCTGAAGACAGGGTATTGGCAAATTCAGGTTGATGAAAGAGACCGAGAAAAGACCGCCTTCATCACGCCGGATGGATTGTATGAGTTCAAAGTGATGCCATTTGGACTTTGTTCCGCTCCAGCAACCTTCCAGCGCCTAATGGACACAGTACTGGCAGGTCTCAAGTGGCAAATATGTCTCGTATACCTGGACGATGTGGTCGTCTTCGCCTCCAACTTTAGCGACCACCTGAAAAGGCTCCGGACGGTACTGGACGCAATTAAGTCATCAGGGCTGACACTGAAGCAAGAAAAATGCCATTTTGCCTATGAAGAACTACAGTTCCTTGGCCATGTTATAAGCAAAGATGGCGTAAGACCAGATCCCGAGAAGACGGCCGCTATCGCACAGTTTCCTCAACCGCAAGATAAGAGAGCAGTGCGCCGATTCTTAGGACTGTGCGCCTATTACCGGCGCTTCGTCAAGAACTTCTCACACATTGCTGACCCTTTGACGC